CTTCATATAGCGAGACTATTAATAAATATAGATATAATATGTAATTTGTTATTAATAGCCAGGCATCTTCGTTGCATCATGTCATACTGTACTTTTAACCGAATTGAAACCGATAATCTGGACACTTTGAGTGACCAGTTTAGCGGTTTTGCGGTGACAGTTTTGTTTAATTTCGAAAAAGAAATCGGCATCATGTGATTTGTGCCACAGAAATATGCTGCGGCTAGGGCTCTTCATTTCTGCAGCAACTGACCACAAAATCCGTATGCGTTACCTATTCATTTATGCGAAATTATGCAATAAATTGCGATAAATTATGCAAATTAGATAGAAATGTGCGTTTATAAATAGAAATATGTCATCACTTTACAGACCTTGGAAAAGGGACCAAATTGACATTTTTTCAAAAGTAATTTTTTATATAAATTAATTTAGAATAAGATTAGGATCATTTTTCACTTAAGAAACATAAGTAGTTATATTAATAAAATTTTACAATAGCTCTTTAAAGTTTATATTTTCTTATAACTTATTATAAGGTTTATAACATAAAAATTGATTTTCTGAAGATCTTTTTTTTGTCAATTTGGTCCCTTTTCTCAGCACCTAGCCCATATGTAGATATCAACATTTTTGGACATCTTAATGATAAGTATTTTATACAGTGCGAATTTTTTTTGTTCATTTATTATCTCAAATGCTTACGCGTCTATTTCTTATTTTTGGTTAGCGCATAGATTTAAAACATGTTGACTATCGCTATCATAAAGGTTTAGTTCTTTAGTTATGAGAAAAACTACAATACAATAAGGTGAAACCTGCAATAAATCGCGTAATAGTAACAGGTTTCACCCTAATCTATTACAAGCTCTTTTTTAGATTTTATGCGCAGATTATGCACTATTAAATATGCAAAGTCAGCCCTGATATGCAAAATATGCAAATTTGCACTAGCCCTAGCTGCGGCTGTGGTATTACAGAACATATATAAATAATATTTGTTATGGAGATCATCAAGATCATCTTTTCTTATTTAACCATGAGTGATGAATGTGATCTAGATAAAGTGCCTGAAGTAAAGAGAAACAAAAAACAAATAATAGAGCTTTTTATTTCCCGAATAAACGGAAAAGCTCCTTTAGTTTATCCTTCATGTTCTCCAATAACTCCCGCGGTTACTCATGTTGAAGATGGAACCTCTGAACCCGAAATCAAATGGATAAAATATTTCAGTGAGCTCCAGCAAAAAAAAAAACAATTACAAATTGATATCGAATGGGAAGAGTTTTTAAGTAGATTCGACTATTCAATTGTGGTTTATAACAAAGTGAAAGATTTAGAATTTGAAA